TCAGACCAGACGTTTTGTTCTCATTTTATTAACTAGGCTTAAATATATTATCTTTTTCTTTATATAGATTGTACACCACCGGTGGTGACTTCGTAAATTGATTCTACAGGTGTATGCCAGGACTGAAGTATTTACTGATTGTATTGTATACTTAATCAGTGTTTTGTTTTGATTCCGTCTTACAGATAGCTTATCAATGTCACTGTATTTTTCAGACCGTTAATATATGCCAATGTATAACAATATAAGATTTACACAAGATAAATGCCATTCTTAATAATGATGATGTTTTAAGTTTTATATTATTAGGATCCACAAATGCAAATGTAAAAAACATTCATTTGGTTTTATGTGTCGCTACTACAGTGTAACCGCTACAAGACTACCACTGTACGTAGAGCAGAAATATCTTTCCAACATTAACACTATTAATTTCTCCAAAAGTAAGAATTTACAATAAATTTAACGTGTATAAACTGTATTATTACTAGTACTATTATATTGTAAATTTTACCACATGAGATATACATGAACTATATTTCACGTAACGTCATCTGAGTGTTTAAAAGTGCTGTAACTTTGTATTTGTCTGACTGTAAAAATAACCATCTCACAAGATGATAACAAAGACAGGCTTACTAGAGCTCGGTCACTTACATGTATATTCAGTAAATTGGTAATTTGTAACTCCAACCCCATCCGGGATCTATCAGGGACTTTCACTTTTGGATTATCACCTACTGCCGGTAGTGGCCGTAAAATTACATGCTATATACCCCCGATCTACAAGTTTGACAATGCCCCGCCAAAAAACAAAATTAATGACTACACTGACCCAACAGCGCTTTGGCAACTTTGCTTCTTCCCCAGCTATCCCCCGCTATGTCCCGAGGTTGGGACCGGGTTACAACAAACACATTGATGTATCGTAATAAAAATCAGTTGTAAACAAAGCAAAGAAATGTAGCAACTCATAAATGAACATGTACATTTTTGTACAAACATTTAAATAATACATGTACTGTCAGATATTTAATGAACTCAGCTATATGACTTCTATTTATTCAGTAAATCACTTAAATAAAACATCAGCTTTACTGACCTTCTAAACTGTGTTAAAATATCCTAAACTTGTCAATAATCCATTCAAATCTCAATATCCAAAATTCTTATTCAAGAATTTTCAGCAAATTAAACAAGTTAAACCGTTCGATAATAATTATTCATAAATAACAACCCGCTTAAGCAATTACCTCCCTTTGTAGCAACGCGTTCATAGCGACACCATGAAAAGATAGAATATTGGATCTATAAAGCCGCAAGATTGATAACCTTTGATATGGCGTTTTTTTATCAGATCGGGTATATATAGGTATTGGAAAAATAAATATTACTTTGTTCGCTTTATCAACTTGTCAGACAATTGTCAACTGGTGTCTAAAGGCCCATTATAAATCTTATACTGCAGTCTTCAATAGTCGTCGAATGAAGTTAAATGAGATTAAATAAATACAAAACTTAAAAGTGGTTATCGGTAAAAAAAATAAATGACGGTAGATCTATATATGCCAATGTTATATTCTATTTGCAATCTTTCGATGTTTTAAATGGTCTATGTATAAGCATGCATGGTACCTTAAAGGCCCTAAAATGGTAACACTCATTGTTTCGAAATCTTTTTATTTTTAATGTCCAATCACGGTTTCCAAAATGTGTCTCAATTACCATATACATGCAGCTGAGTCTTCTTTTGTGTGTTTGCAATTAATACAGTTATTGTGATTTAGTATTTTGTATGAAAGTCAAAAAATACAACCTTGCTTACATTTTGCCACCATTATCACAAATACTTTCATATTCCGTCCTATTTTCTTCAGGTGTTAAGCTTCTTATATGATCTTAAACTCTTATTACAACATTACACCAACAAAAACATAAATAAATAAATAAATAATGCATTTATTTACGAGACTTAACGTGCCTTTAAAATGCTGTGAATCAATATGTACCGAGTGACTTTAATGAACGAGTTGTCTGAACTTAAGCAACTAGAGTAAAAGACGAACACAATTTCATAATCTGTTTTATTTTCACAAAAAGCAAAGAGAATGCATTAAAATATACATAAGCTGTTATAAATAAGTTACAATTTACATATTGACAAACAAAGCATGGGAAATCAATCATTGGTGAGTCATTTAAAATGTTGAATAAGTTACCTCCCTTTGATGGGACACTACACTGGCATGGTATCATATAATTGTTTCAGTTTTATTGAACAATTCATTGAAACAAATTATTTGATCGGATATCACGTATTATGTTTAAAAGTTTTTGTTTCTCTCTTCCAGAAGTGCGCTATAAAACATTGTGTCATAGTGTTACGTTGTTCATATCATCATGTCATCATCATCATGGAATCATCATGACATGCTCTTTTTATTGTTCCTCCACATACTGAAGCAAATTATCGTAGAGTAAATCATCCATCCGAGATATGGGTATACGAGATAAGCAGCCGTCGTGTTAACCGACTTAAATGTAACTGCGGTAGCTATAGTTGTTCCTACTACTGATGCCAAGATCAAAGTTCCCTGAAATTAAAACAAATCAAATATTGATATCAATACGTTGAAGCCGTTATATATATTTAGAATACTTTATTACGAATGACAAACAGCTAATTGTATGTTTACTCGTGATGGAATTGGAAGTGTTTCACAAAACATGTCGACCTTTCAATTTTAAGTTAATTTTTCAAGTTTGATATTTCATTTATTGTAAAAGAAGATAGATTGTTCAATATTTATAACGGTTACTGAAAGACATATCTTTTGTGCTATGTATGTACGTATAGTATTGATAATAATGTCTTATTTATAAACAAATGCGAGAGCAAAATTATGACCGTGTCCGGAAATACGCTACAGAGAGTTATATTGTATACATTATATATAGTAAACGGGTGCTGGGATAGTAATTTTATTTATGGTGATCAACGGGAGATTATTTTATGATAATTTGACCAATAATGACAAGACAAATGTGCCAAACGTCTGTGTTCCAAACATGGTCCGCGGTGTAGCTCCTGACGAACGGACTGACGGACGCACAAAAAGAAATGTCAAAATTATTTATAGCAATCATTTGTTGGTGGTTCATTAAGCAAGGGAAATGCTGTAAGAGTGCGTAAACAATATTGTTTTATTTAAATATATATTAATACTTACCACCCCTAAATTCTTCGTTTTAGAAACAAGCGGCATGACTGACCAGGACAGAGCAAGATTGGCACCATAACACATCAGAGGTAATTTATTATCACCATTAAATCCCCCAAATTCTCGCCATACCAGATAACTACCATATCCCATACAACTGTATGTTGTTAATCTTGCGGCTGACTTTAACCAGTCTGGCGGAGCAAATGATGGCTTCTTAAGTTCCTGCAAATATACCATTTATTATCACACAGATACTTCTTACGCATGATTTATCGCATCCATTGCATTACGGAAAGTCACGTGAAAGAACAAGGGTTAGACACCAGGGTCAGATTAATTCAAAACACCTCAACGATTTATTAAACATATCAAACATTTGACGGAAAGGGCCGTAAAGTTGCCATTGTCAGATGATCGGCAAATACAATCTTCCGTCAAATTTTTTACTTTGGGCAATAAGCAAAAGACTCGCTGATGGTTCACTTGTGTTAAAATGCAACTTGTGTCGCAATTGTTTTATTCAACTTTATTACCGAACTTATCACATCAATGAAACAAAGATAAAATTTGATAACGTATAATAATAATATTATTTACTGTTGAGTATTTATTTAATCTAACCGAAACTTGTCGCAAAAGATTAAAATAAAGGGTCCTTACATAATGAAGACACAAATATCAATCAATGTGAAAAGTATTTATAGAAAATAAACAAAGCTATAACTGAAAAAAAAAAGTTATGCATTCATGCCGTATTAAATTTGTTTTCTACAGGTCTTACATAATGAGATAATTATTTGGTTGGGTTTAGGTTGAACGTCGCAGCAACGCTATGGCGACTTTCTAGCTTTACTAGGTGCCTTTCCTTGCATTATTTCAGGCACAAAATAGAATAGAACCACCGACAATCCGTAAGCTAGCTGGATAGCTTTCTCATAATGAAATAATCAAAGATCCCTGGCGGGATTCGAATTCACTGCGGTGAAGAAAAATGTGTATAGATCAACCATTTAACGCATATGAAAGTACAATGAAAATGAAGCAGAAAATTACTTTCTGTAACAAAATATTTGATTTTTTTAACAAAATATATTTCAGGCACTGAAAGTACGGACCCCATTCCACTCGTGTTCAAATGTTAAAGGTAAATAGATATTAATGAGGCGGTGCTAGGTAGGGGCAAGGGTCTGACTAGGTGTGTGTGTGTGTGGGGGGGGGGGGTAATCATAAGCTTTGTTTGATGCGATTTCAACATGCTTTAAACAATTCTATTTTACCATCAATATCTATATCATATTATTACATTAGAACTATTTTATACATGAAAAAATAAACAACATACATTTAAACACTAACCTTTTTCCAATCTTGTAATTGTTTCCCAGTGAAGTAAGTACCCATATACCCACCAATATGAGGTAAGAAAATTGCACACGCTGGTTTGAGATATTCCGCCATCTTTAGAAAGAAAAGTATAAAATATTAAAGCGACAAATTCAATCCGTTAATCACTATTTTTCTTTATATCTAAAATGAAATATATTTTGTTAAAAAAATCAATATTAAAATTAATTGAAACAGGATCTATCTAAATGAAAATGAAAATAAAGTCTAAATGAGAGATAAGTGAAATAAATGAAATGAAAACAAGATGTCCTACCGCGTTAAAGTTTGTGAGGCAAAAGGAAAGATTTAAGCTTGTTATGTTTAAACAAGTATATATTTAATCTGAGCAAAGTTTAAATACTAAGTGGAGTGTGAGATAGTAACGATACATATAGATTGTGAACACTTGACCAGTATCAACTACTGATGCAATTTTATCAACCTAAAATCATCTATACATTTCTTTCAAATTCCTATTCACTGCAATTTAATTTTAATATACAATAGCATTCACTTTGAATAAATTACAATAACCCACCTCTCAATACAACATAAGCAAGAAATATCTTTTAAAACGATACTCGGCCGAAGTATAACCGTTTAACATGCAAATTATGTCATTTCAAAGTTTTCAATACAAAGAGAAATGTCAGTTATGCTTGCATAACAATGATTTGCTAATTATTTCTTGTAACTATTAAGAAAATACCAATTTTGTAAACAACAAAATTAAATCATAGCATATTTATATTGATGATATTTCAAAGAAGAACCACTTCTATTTAAAGTGTCCCTTTTACTTGTTTTACGTTTGACTTATAAATGTTGTTATCATTTACAAATTAAAGATCCTGAATGTTGTGATCAAGGTGGCATGCCTTTGTGTATTTACGTTTGTTTACCCTCGCCACCGAAAGAAACCATAAGGGCGAGCAAGTGAAATAATATATATTTACATAATTATGCAAATAAAACAATTTTCAAACATCGACGAATATGTAATATATGTACTGCAAATATTTGTGCATATAATATGTAATCATTAAAGTATATGCATTCATTATTATTGTAAAATTGGACTTAAACTTTGTAGAAAATAAATTTTTATTACCTCCCTTTATTTACATGAAATTTTAATTTCGGTAATATCTTTATAAATAATGCTTTTTGGAACCTACAATATATTGATAAATCTTAATTTGAGCATTATATTTATGATTTAAAACCATAAGAATATTGTGTTACAGGATCTATAACCTAAAAATTTTTTTTTTTAAAATCCACATTCCTGTACATTTTATCTTAGAACTATCCTCTGCATTTTATTTTATAGTGGCAAAACTATCCCTTACATTTTATCATAGAGCTAGCCTTAAAATTTTAATTTTAGAATGGTAAGAACTATCCTTTACATTTTATTCTAGAATGGTTACAGGCCCGTCGTCACGATTTTGTGATTGGTGCGGCCAATTTGGTATGTTTTAGTCAGAATCTAGGGGGGTAAGGGGGCATGCTCCCCCGGAAAATTTTGTATTCTAGGATGCTCTCAGGGGCGTTTTCGCGTATATTTGGCACAGCTTTCAGCCTGTCGCTAGTACATGTTATAGTAAAATGTCAGCGATTTTTTACAGATTTAAGTGGTGAAAATTAAGGTTTGCATAACGGAAGGGCAGGTGTACATAAAAAAAATGAATACATGTAATTGATATTTGGCAAATGAAAAATAAACAATAACTGATGTTGTTATAATTCTTTAGATGCATTTTATCTGATAATTATTGTAAAACAAATACAATATATTACAAAATATTACAGTACGTGGATTTTTGTTTTAACATAAATCACACAATGGTATTAAATAACAATCGATGCCATGATGGAAGAATATTACATAAAGAGTCAACAATAACCGCTTTTTGTTTAGCAGTAACTTGTATTTTGTTCAAATAATCTTACAAAATACAGAGTCTCATTTTATGTAAAGTTTCCAAAAACACATCGCCGTCGTTCTCTGGTGGTAATGAACTCATCGGCAATTACAGGTAAGTTGAGTGAATCTGTCCTTTACTTTTGAATATGTAACACCATTAGTTTGTTCAAGCGTACTTGAGACATTATAGATCTCAGGTATGTCTTTATTCTTCTGAGCGCCGAGAATGTCCTATCACTGGTAGCCTTAGTAGCAGGCATTACTAACAAAATCTTTAACAACACAACGACATCAGAGAACAGTGCTCGTTCTAGCACCGACTGTTTTGACACAAATTTCAAAACGTCAGGTAGAGTAACAGTACTATTTTCTGATTTGTCGAATATGTGAACGTAGCAGCTGAAGCTGCATCTCTAAGATGTTTCAGTTTATATCGTTGCCATAGAAATCACAAACAAAACCAAGTTTTCTAGTGCACTCGGTCTTCAAAGGTTGTCCGGTCTTAATAGTTCTATAGTACGCGATATCCCGGTTGGTCAAATCTCTCTTTAACACTGGCCATGGCAAGATCGATTTCTTCAAAAAACTTAGGCCGGAACCGTCCCTGCACTGTAATTATGTTATAGAGTAAGTTGAATGAGTTGATTATGGATTTATTTCACGAGTTGAATGAAAATATATTATGCGAGCCTCTGTCGAGTATCATATTTTATTCGTCGAGTTCAATAAATTCAGTAATGAACTTACACGAATTTAATATTCTGTTTATGACATTGTCATACCAAAAATAAGTACCTTTTGAAGTGAAAAAGAACCATTTTTCATTGACGCCCATAGAAAAACGCTAACATTTATTGTGTATAACGCAAATGACGTCAAAATACAAGCACAGCCGTGCAATACCATTTTCACGGAGTCGCAAAAACGGCACGGATATGTGATAAAAAAATGACTTTTGAATGGTTACCGTGTACAATCAATAAAATGTTATCAAGTTCTCAGAGAATTCATGCATACTAGTTTAAGATGTTCATAATATATACGGTGAACTGTCCGAAGCCACGTCGATGTCAATTAACTTCACACTTAACTTCAAGTGGCCAGTTATGTGTCAAATTGCTTATCAGCGATGCGGATTTTTTTTCTTTTTTTTAAAACTCATTTTTGGCCAAAATATTGGTCCGGCCAAAGCCGGACCGGCCGGACCATCGACGACGGCCTTGGGTTAGAACTGTCCTTTACATTTTATTTTAGAATAACCAATGAGATTCGCCGATTTTAGTTTGTAATTTTAAAATGACCAACGAAAATTGTTCTTATATTCAGTCCTTCCCTGTTAATTTTACAGGAAGTCAAACTGATAACAGACGGACTTCGTCCAAAGAAAAAAAAAATAAATAAAAAATAAAGAGAACAAAATAAACGACAAAATATTTTTAAAATGAGCAAACCAAAATATACCCTCGCGATGATTAACCTCATGTTTCCTTTTGAGAACTATGGCTATTACCAACATTAGAGGGGTTATTATATCATTAAGTTATATATTTTCTTGAATAAGTCTCTGCAATTGGAATTATATATATTTTCTTTAAACTATTCTAGACATTGAAAACATCCAAATTGTTGACCAATTAAAAATATACGTTACACAATTAACCGTCTCATTTTATTGATAAGGAAACAGGAAGCATTTAATATATTATTTAACGGATCATATAAATTAGCTTATTACAGGGGTTAACGAGATCTATTAGCAATATAGAGACTATACCTTTTCAAAACCAGTAAGATTTTAAACATTTCTGAAATAACACGGACTCACATACTTTTCGAATTTAATTCTGACAATTTACGTTTAAAGCTTGTTATTAATTTCGATACTGAAAGAAAATATATATAATTCCAATAGCAGAGACTTATTTAAGAAAATATATAACTTAATGATATAAAAACCTCTCTTTAAATAATACGCTCGTAACATAACATCAGTGTGATTTGAAATTAAGTTTACTCTGTGTCATTAAAAAGTGTTGTCACTTCGGTGCACCTATCGCATTGATAACTTTTCTATCTTAAGCATATGCTACAGTTACATAGGCATAAAGTCAGATTGAAAACTGTAAAATAGAATTTGTTTAAATTTCGAATGAGCTAGGATCAAAAGTAATCAATGTTAACAACACTGCACCTTTAGACTGCTGGAACCGATTTTTTTAGCAATATAGAGATACATGTATGCCAGATTGCACATCCTTGCAGACTGAACCAGCTCTGTACTTTCAGTCTTGATATTCCAAGATTGATAGCCAGTTCTAAAAAATATTGAATCTTAATAAACAAATTCAAGACATATTTTGAAAATTAGCCTTCTAATCAATTACAGAAATAAAATGACATATTTTGAAATCTGCCATGTAGTAAAAGGGAAGACACAACTCTTTGTCCATTTTTCGAAAGAGAAGGGGGAATCATGTGATGCGTGTATATGGTCGCATGGTCACTTTCCTTACTTGTCCTCAGTGTATGTAAATGGTCAAAGGTCGAAAATCTGTAATAAAATGACAACGTTTTCAAAGGAGTCTTGGTACGGAACCGTCTGGTGCAGAATCTAAATGTTCTTAAAAACTGTAAAAAAAAGAGTTATAATTAAGACTTTGTTACTTCTGCTAAGTAGTTTGAAAAGCCTAAAGTAAGGACTTTTTCAATGCCTAAAAATATATAGGACTTTGCATGTCCTAATTAAAAGTCTTAAACACTTATATTTTAGGAGAAATATAAAACCTTTTTTTTTGCATAAAAATCTTGTGTTCAAATTAGGGTTCAATTTTATATTTAGTGTTTTGAAGTTGCTCCTAATTAAGATGTTTTTTCAACTCCTAATTATGCTTTTATTTCTTCTATAGGCTTTAAAAAATTCTTATAAATACAATGTAGTAACAAAATTGTTATTAGGTTTATTTCTCCTAATTATGAGTAAAAATTCCTATTTAGTTTACAAATTATAATAAGGTTTTTATCTCTCCTATTTAGGAGAATGGAAGTCCTAATTAGGTTATGTTTTAATAATAAAGTTAAAAAGTCCTTAGACTTACATTGAAAAGCGTATTTTTTACTATTCTTAGCCCAATTTGAGTCAAAACAGTTGCAACACTTTTCAATATTGGGACATTTTTCACTGTTAGAATACTCATTCAGGAAAAACGGAGTGAGCGCATGATCTGAAATTGTACATTTAAGTTATTGGTCATGATCTATATCAAATAGAATATCAATCATGAAAAAACTATTTCCAGTCCCGTCAAGTCAAGAACCTCAGTGTAGTCTCTTTTATTTCTATATTCGACTTATTCTATTTGTAATAAATAGGTAATGTGACGGATTGCATAGCCGACAATTCTGACACTGGTAAGACTATACATATTTGCAAGCCTTATCCTACTCGCAGAATTTGTATAATTTTCAAGGCTCCCATTTTTTAGAACTGACTATCAATCTGGCATATCAAGATACTGCGACATTTAGCGGCAAGTGCGACATTTAGCTTCGTTGCGACATAAAACGGTGCCACAGGGGTGACTATAGTTACGTTTTGCACAAATACAGAATATACTTTAAAATCTGACAACAATTTCCAATGATATTAAGATGGATTTTATCGTAATTCTGATTAATATCTATAGATATATTGAATACTTGTTTAACGACATACTTCTTTCAATTATAATTTTACTAATTCATACTTGAAAATATGCACAAAACTAAACGTCATTATACGTAAATATATTCTGCAATATCATGGCGACATATTTTATGTAGAAGATGCCACGTGTTACTGAACTTTGTGAAGGTTAGAATAATGATTGGCGGTTCTGCTAACATGTAACATTCCATCAAGCCCAATGTTCGTCATAATAAAACAACTACCCGACAAACTAATATCAATTTACGCATATTGTTCTGATCAAACCTTCGCTTTCATAAAAGCAAATCTATATTTGGTCATGCACAAAATAGTTAAAGTAACAGTTTCATTTTCCTTTTTGATAGATATAAATCTAGCGTGAGGCACACGTGTTACATCTACACTCTCAATCATTGATAAACAACATTGAACAATTCTAGAAAAATCTTTATTTTATGAAAACAAGCGTTTGTTGAAACGGATATAGTATGGTGGAAGCGGAAGTCGAAAAATAAGGCCTTTTTATGTGGACACCGGGAGCTGAAGAGCTGATCTATAGGTAGGTATCTTTATCAATATTTCTAATAAGTTATTAGTAGCTTTTGATACAGAATCATGAAAGAGAAATTCATAAGAAAAAATAATTGTTTTTAACTCTAAAAACAATTATGATTTTCCCATCAACATTGAATGTCGCCTCAACATTACATGTCCCCACAACATTGACTGAGTTGACATAATAATTTTATTTAATATTGCAATAAAATGGTTACCATGTTTATACATCTACATCCGATGCATTAATATCTATACAGTATAGCTTTTTGTCTGGATCGATATTTTTCCTTTTGTCATAATTTTATCACTTTTAAAGCTATACGAGTATATTATGAGCTATCTGTCAAAGTTGTCTGTATATTTATGAAATACAATGCATGTACAATTATACTCATATCAGGTGGAAGTTGTAAGAAAATTGGTATTTATACCATTTTTGCCAGTACTAGCTTTACAGCTTGGTACTCTTCAAACATGACCACAATTGGTAAAATTGTAAATATATAAGAAGTTGTTATGATGTGTTTCAGGAACGAAAACGTGTTTGTAGACAAAGATGATGCAGAATGTATATGTCAACAAAACTTTGGTCTACATAAAAAGTATGTTGTATCTAGTTATTTATTTTGTTTTAATCTTTTACAAGTAGATGTTTCAATTTGTAAATCATTTTGCTTTAGAAATTAACGAGAAGTATTTGCTACCCGTTATGCGCGACATACAGCCAGACGTCTGCAAGGTCGGATTGACTTTATTTATAGCTAATCTTAGAACGTTTAACAGAAATTTTAAAATCAAAGAATGTACGAGTCGAATTTTCGTTTTTAAGCAGAATGTCAAACATAATGCGTAACAATTACTTAATTTTCGTTTAAAAAAAATAGGATAACTTGCGGTTGTGATATTTAATTTTTCTCAATTCGATGCCCACTGTGCATTTTCGCCCTGTTCGGTGGCCCACTGGGTGCATTTTCCCGGCTCGGTGCTCCATTGGGTGCAATTTTGCCCTGTTCGGTGCTCCACTGGGTGCATTTTCCCGGCTCGGTGCTCCACTGGGTGTATTTTTGCACTGTTCGGTACCCCACTGTGTACACTTTTGCCCTGTTCGGTGCCCCACTGGGTGCATTTTTGCCCTGTTCGGTGCCCTACTGGGTGCATTATGTCCAAATTTATGGCTAAATGTCTCGTGTTTGTGGCTCTGCTTTGTTGATTTTGACTCTTATAATTTGTTCGTGAGAAAAGCAATATACTGATTGGGTTTATATTTTTTTTCTAGAAATATTACCAGGAAGAAAAATTACAGCAAGGTACCTACTGACTGTGATGGTGTTTTGGTACATGGTAGTTGATATCAGAGTTCTATTATGTAAGTTTCAAAATACTTAGTTCTACTGTACAGAAATTACAAACATAGTCTATATGTCTGATTAAATGACTGATTTATCTACTGACATGACTTTCCTGACCTATTAAGCTTATATTATATTTACATGCTGATATTACCTTATACATGTACATCTATTGACATGATCTTTATATAAACTGACATGACATGCATATCTACTACTATATTGTTCTTTTTATGTCATATCTTTCTAACAGAATACAACAGATTTGAAACGTCCTTTAAATTTTTCCATAAAAATGCCGGGTCTTTGTTATTTTTAATAGCATTGTTAAAGAAATCTCTTTTACTTTTTTTAATCATACATAAAACAAAGTTTTCAAATACAAATTTTTCAAAATTGAAAGAAACTTTAGACCAAAAGCTAATACATCATGAATTTAATATTGAATTAATTACACCGTTTGAAGTAAAACTTATTATTGAAAAACTGAATATTTAAAAATCTACAGGATTAGATGGAATTGGACCAAACATCATCAAATATTGTGGAGATTATATTACACCAATAATTGCATCAATTATCAATAATAGTATTAAATCTAATATTTTCCCAGATGATTTAAAAAGAGCTCGAGTTATACCTATTTTTAAATCGGGGGATAAGAATGAAGCAAATAACTATCGACCGATATCAATTTTGTCAACTATATCCAAAATATTTGAGCGCCATATTGCCAAACAAATACACTCATTCTTTGAAAAAACGAACATTATTCATAATAGACCAATCAGGATTTCGTAAAAATCATTCATGTAATACTGCACTCATAAGTTTAATAGATACTTGGTTAAAAGATGTTGACAGTGGAAAAATTATAGGGACTGTATTCTTAGACTTAAAGAAAGCCTTTGATTTGGTTGACCATGAAATACTTTTGCATAAACTTAAACTTTATCATTTTTCTGAAAATGCCGTTAAGTTTTTTATGTCATATCTTTCTAACAGAATACAACTAGTTAAGATAGGTGATCTACAATCTCAGACAATGAAAATAATTTCCGGTGTTCCACAAGGCTCAATATTAGGACCTTTATTATTTCTAATATACATAAATGACATAGCTTTCATTGGTAATGATATGAAAATTGATTTATACGCAGACGATTCTACTCTTTATGAGTCCGGAGAAAATATATCAAAAGTAGAAATAAAAACTTCAAGATCATTTAAATAACATTGACAAATGGTGCAAAATAAATAATATGGCCTTAAATCCAGATAAATCAAAATGTATGGTAATAGGAACAAGAAAAAAGTAAATATTATGAGAAAATTAATTCTTAAGATAAATGAAATAGCTCTTGAAAATGTAACTGATCAAAAAGTCTTGGGTATTTGCATAGATAACAACTTAAATTGGCACTTGCAAATTGACAATGTTTGTAAAAAACTTAACCGAAAAATTGCCTTATTGAAAAAAAATATCGTATTTTTTGCACTTTGATATGAAATTATTGTTTTACAATGCATATATATTGCCCATTATGGACTATTGTTGTATTATATGGGGTAAAGGAAACACAAACTACATAAAATAATGTTTGTAAGTTACAAAAACGAATTGCTAAAATCATTTTACAGCAACCTCAAAGATCTCCGTCAACAAATCTATTCGAAAACTCTTAATTGGTTACCGTTCCTTGACAGATGTAAATACCACACGGCGGTGCTTGTTTTTAAAACTTTAAATAACATGGCACCGACGTATATGACAGAACTGATGACTTTATCCGACAACAAAATATATAACTTAAGATCTAGGTCACGGAAAGATATTGTATTATGGACAAGACCTAAAACAAATTATATTAAAGACACATTTTCTTATTATGGCATGAACATTTGGAACAATATACCTTTAAATATTCGTAATGTTAATAACCTTAAATGTTTTAAAGAAAAATACAAAGCATATCTTGATGTTCATATGAATGAATGAGTGATCGAATGAATGAATGAATAAATATATGAACGAACGAATGAACGAACGAACAAATGATGCAATATACATATATGTTTAAACAAAAAATGTTGAGTGCCTGTCGAAAGTATATGAGTTGTATTATTCTAAAAATTACATATTATACATTCATTTTTCTACCTATGAATGTCCTGTTGTTGTTGTTGTTGTTGTTGTTGTTGTTGTTTTCTTTTTCAGAAGGCCACTTTGGAAATAAGATATATATGATTGTTATTGTATGTTCTTAATGTGTAACCTTCTTTAAATAAAGATATTATTATTATTATTATTATTATTATTATATATATACTGACATGCATGACATATTTATTTGTAAATTTACGTAGTTTTACTGACAAAATGATAAACTGATATGACATATTGACATGACTTAAATCCTGTCAACTTTCATTTAATTTTTTATCTAGTAACATGCATATGATTATACTGTATTGGTGTGCCTAATAGTTTTTTTAATGTAGTCTAAAATGCAATATACATATGTTATATAAACAATTTATTCAAGGTAAACATCCGTTTAACAAAATGCAGGTAACAAAAGGGTTACAATCAACAAAA